TTGAACCTGAAAAGGCCCTTGCCTTCTCAGCTATTAACTTATCAATGCGTTGTTATGCGGCAGCCATTATTGTTTGTACTGTTTCGGGGAAATCCGCAAGACTTCTTTCAAGATACAGACCGCGATGCCCAATTATTGCCGTTACACGATATGCCAATGTGGCTCAAAGGCTTAATATGTGGCGAGGAGTGTTACCATTTTTATACTTTAGTAAGTATTATGCTTATTTGTTTATTTATATATTCACTTACCAATAAATTGTTAAATTTTTCACTTTATCACAAGCTTGACGCAGCCTAACGACGAACGGACGAACTGACTTACACGCCATTTTTCAAACTGCTAGTTTGCGTTTTTATTACAACGATGAAGATGTCGCCGCAATCTGGTGGAGGGAATTATAATTTGAATTTTGAATTTATTCTTTTTTATAAAGTAGTAAACAGAGTGTTCTTTTTTGTTCCAGAACGTCCCATATGTAATTGGAAAAAAGATCTGGATACGCGAATACAAGTAGGGATGACTTATGCTAAATTAAATGGAATTGTAAGAGCTGGAGATGCAGTTGTAGTTGTTAAGGCCTTACGGCTAGGATCAGGATTTACAAATTCAATGCAAATTGTTTATGCGTCTGAATTTGACGCTCTTCCTCCAGACAAACCATGATTGCCCAAATATAGATTACAAACGTCAAGTATGTACAATTGTTATAACAAATGTTTCATTGAAGTCCTTTTGTTTTGTACCATACCTTTTTGTTGATTTTATTTGAATGTGTAAAGGTAATTAAATAATTGTTAACATGCTATTACTGTGTGCTTTAATTGAACCAAAACACTTGATTACTTCATTAAAATTAATAAAAAAAAAACAATTTTATCAGTGGAATGTATGGTATATTTATTTAAACATTACATAAATAAATAATTGATTGCATAAAAAAATAAGCATATTAATTAATTAAAATAAACGAATTGGTAACAAACACTTAAAAAGCTATGAAAGCCCCAAAAAAAGCAAATTAACTTAAAAGATCCATTAAATCATCGTTTGATAATTTATTATTCGAACCATTTGTGTTGGGTTGACGCCAATTTTGATTTAAATTTTGACTAGAAGTTGTCCATTGATTGGAATTATTCATATTCGTCATCATTGGAGGACCTTGTAAGGCAAGTTGGTTATTATAAGAACTAGCTGCAGTAAGGCCGTTATTATTCCACAAATTTTGATTAAAGTTAGGCTGATTTTGAAGAGAACTAGTTTGCATTAGATTATTTGAATGAGCAGGATTAGAAATAGGACTACCCATAATTGGAAGTGGGCTAATTCCAAAATTATTACTGGGAGGTGTGTTGGATTTAACAGAATGGGCCAATAAGTTCATGTTGTTCCACATTTTTGTGTCTAAGTTGGACAAGGAAGAAGTTAAATCTTTTGTTGTCTGTTGGGACGGTGGTCTCATAGTTTGAGAGATAGGTGTTGGTTGAATTTGGGGTTGAGTTTGAAGTACTTTTATAGTTTCCTCTTGCTTTGCAAGCTTCTGCTTGTCTTCCAAACTTAAGGAATTGGACATGATATCATCCAAACCTAACCCGGAAAATGCTTTATCGATTTCAACAGGTTTAGAAGTTAGGGGTACAATTGATGGTAATTGACTTTCGAGAACTTTCTGCTGTTCATCTACTGTATTTAATTGTTCAAGTTTGGTTCTGTGTTCTGTCTCCACCATTTGGAACATTTGTTTTATGAGAGCTACCAGAGCATTAAACTGAGCTAGGGTAAGACCGTTTTCAATGGATAAGGGTATAAGGAAAGGTAAAATTCTCGTAGCGATTATCTCTTTACTAATGCCCAATTTTTTATGGTTTAAAGCTAGCTTTAAAATTCCCAGTATGCCCATTAAAACAGCAGGTTCTCTGGATGGTACTTGGGGTAAGAAAGGGATAATTTCATCCAGTACCAACCACTTGTCCAAGTGCTCGAGCAGTTGTCCAATACAAATGAGGCAGCTGACACGAACAGGTGTTGAAGGCGTCGATATACAGAGACGCTTAATTCGGGGCAGGACGCTGTTTTTAACGTTGGCATGGTCGAGGAGGCCCGCGAACGTTGGCAGGACCGACAGACACATTTGATGAATTTGAGGATTATCACTGTCCAAACCTCGATGAAACATCGGCAGGACGTGCTGCTGAATGTCTTCTGCAGGTGTTAATTTTAAAAGGAGTTCCATTCGTTGAAGAAAAATTAGCAGAATCTAAATTCAAAAAAAAGTATTGATTACTTTACAGGAAAAAATGTTGCTTCTTTTATTTACCTGAATTGGATTTGTTAGCTTCATGACGGGTTTGAGATGAGGTAAAATTTGGGAGACATATTCCTTTTGACTGCACTCCTGAGCAATGTCCAGAATACTGGGTAAAAGAAAAGGAACCATCGCAGGTTGTGCCAAGTCCCTTACCAAACAGGGAAGAACTTGCTGAAGTTTTACTCTTTGTGGAAGCTTTCCTAGAGCTTCAGGCAGACCACGGTAGAATTGAGATTTCTGTAGATTATCCCACTGTAGAAGGGAGTCTAAGTAAGCCAGGGTTTTCACCCCAATATCCTCGAAATACGAGATCTACGAAAAAAAGTTAGTGAGAGAAATTAACAAATATACATTTCAAATTACTTTCGAAAATTGATGGGCATCTGGTCTCATTTCTGGAGTTGTGTTTAGCATTAGTTTGACATATTCTCTGAGATTTTCTGGTAAATGTTGCAATTTTTTGGGAGGAATTTGTTTCAATTGTTGGACTCTGCTTTTAATTTGGTGCAAGTCCTTTACAGGGAAGAGTGTTTGATGATTAGGTGAATATAATAAATAGATTAACAAGCCCAATGAAAACATGTCACTAGCTGGAGAATGTGCTTGTGTCAGGGCAATTTCAGGGGAACAAAAATCCAGATTGCATTGTGCAACAGAAGGCACAGTAGGGCTGAGCTCCTGGAAAGGATAAAATGGGGGTTCATTAGGAGGGCTAGTGTTGTGGATGCAGAAATCAAAGCCAAAAATCTTCCAGCTTCCTTGCTGATTAATTACAATATTCTCAGGGGCAACATTTCTATGTAATAATTTAACATCGTTATGCAGAAATGATAAGCCCTCACTAACTTGAAGTAAACCGTATTTAATTTCCACATCAAATAATTTATAATCAGACATGTTTGAAGGTTGAGGCATATTATATGTTTGTCCCAAGATATTAGCCAGACTAGCAAAAACTGGCTCAGTGGCAAAGGCCAAACTTTCACGACTCTCTTCAAGAGGATGTTGTATAGTTAATACCCGGGGGTGTCTTATTTTTGTAATTTGAGTTATTCCACGTTTAAGGCTATCTAATATAATTTCTCTGTCTGTCTTGTTCCATTTTTCAAGCTGTCTTTTCTCAAAAACAAATATAGAGGCTTCTTGTTTTGTAGAACATTTATATCCTTTATAAATCTTCCAAAATAGTCCTGCAGCAAAGAGGAAAGTTGTTTAAGTGGAATAAATTGATAATTAAGGTAACAAAGTCTTTTACAGTGAGTACCTGGGCCAGCTGAGGCTACATGTGATGTTGCATCAAATTCTCTTGTGACAGGGTTTCCTGGAAGAACTCCAGATAATTGTGACACTGTACTGCTAACAGAACTGCTGACGTGAGAGTATATCTTATTAAACATTTCCATTTCTTTAAAATTGTTTAAATTATGTATTATACAATTTATTTCCTAGAAAAAAAATACAATAAATACTTGAATATTGACAATATAAGGCAACTATTGTTTAAATTCATATCAGAATAGTTCAAAAATTTACCTGAATTTATTAAAATAAGATTGAAATAGTTCTATAATATAATAAAACCTTTAAAAAACACAAAAATAAATGATTCATACTTGTAACCTCAAACGTCAATTAATGATACAGCCCATAGACATAGATAATAGATATATAAAGGGTTAAATGGATACAGCAAGTGGCCTAACTTGTAGGAGATAAATAGGGGACAATAGATGAAAAATAGAAATATTATTACTCATGATCTATGGGTAATACATCATTATATCTTCTATGATCAACAACCAAAGACATAAGGAGGGGACAATAGATGAAAAATAGAAAAATTATTACTTATGATCTATGGTTAATTCATCATTATGTCTTCTATGATAAACAACCAAAGATATCATTATAACCTTTAAATATGTGAAAAATTTCAAATATTTATCATTTATTATGCCA